GAGGGTCGGGTCGTGGATTGGACTAGTTTTGAAGATGAGTTATGGGTCCGTTTTGGGCCAACCGAGTTCGAAGACTGTGATGAGACCCTGATCTACATCAAACAAATTAGGCCGTTAAGGGAGTACCAGCAGAAGTTTGAGAGGTTGGGCAATCAGTTCCGAGGATGGACCCAAAAGACCTTGGTGAGGGCTTTCACTGCTGGGTTCAAGCTTGAGCTCACTGACGGGATCAGGATGTTTCGGCCCAGGACCCTTAAGGACGCTCTCAGCCTGGTCCGCATGAGTGAAGAATAGGTGGAGTGCTAGAAAAAGATAAACCAACCCGGGCGGTTCGTGACCGGTTCGTCTACAAACCTCATAGTCCCCAACACAAACTGGCGAACTCAGCAAACCCTAGCCGCCCCGAACACAGCAAAACGCATCTCCTGGTATAAGATGCAGTAACGGCTAGCGCAAGGATTATGTTTCGACTGCGATGAGCGATTCTCTGCGGGCCATCGATGCCGCAAACCGCAGCTACTACTTCTCGAAGGAGGAAGTGTCGGGGAAGAAGAAGTTGACATGGAGGACCTGGAAATCTCTCTCCACGCCCTCACCGGGTGGTCCATAACCCAAACCATGAAATTCCATTCGACGGCAGTAGGTCATCGCCCTCATCAATAGTGGGTCTACCTACAATTTTATCAGTGACCGAATCGCGTGCCGCTTGTAGCTCCCTGTGATTCCGATGCCTGCATTTTCGGTCAAGGTGGCTAGTGGGGATCCGATGAAATGCTTTTGCTACTTCGAGCACGTGCTGATTTCCCTTCAAGGCATCTCGTTCTCCCTAACTTTTTACTCATTACCACTAATCGAGCTTGATGTTGTTTTAGGAGTTCAGTGGCTGGAATCATTGGGAACTGTTGCCCGTGATTGGCGTAAAATGACGATGGAATTCCTATGGATGAATCAGCCGCGGCGATTGTGCGGCCTGGGCGCCCTGCCACTCCAGGCGGCTTCCCTGGAGGAACTTAGCAAGTCTGTGGCTGAGCAGCACTCTGTATATGTTGTCTGTTTTGTAGCAGAAAAAAGGTTCCTTCTCTAGTTGAGCCACCCAAGCTGCAACAGGTAATTGATTAGTTTTCTGATCTGTTTGAGGAACCCAAGCAATTCCCCCCTCAAAGAGACATTGAACACCGAATTTCCCTCAAAGACGACATTGAACCAATCAATGTAGGCCTGTACCACTGTGCCTATTTTCAGAAATATGAAATTGAAAGAAAGTGTCCAACGTGTTCAAAAGTGGCCTCATTCGGCCAAGTACGAGTCCATTCTCATCGTCGGTGTTGTTAGTTCGCAAGAAGGATCGGACTTCGCGATTTTGTACCGATTACCGAGCCCTCAACGTAGTGATCATCAAAAACCATTTTCCTATTCCGACAGTTGAAGATATGTTGGATGAGCTGCATGAGGCCGTATACTTCACCAAACTAGACCTCACTGTTGGGTATCATCAAGTCAGGGTTCACCTTGCTGACATATCCAAAACCACGTTTAGAACCCACAATGGTCATTATGAGTATCTGATAATGCCTTTCGGTCTATGTTTTTAAGGTATTATGAATTTGATTTTTCGACCATATCTGCGAAAGTTTGTTATGGTTTTGTTTGATGATATTTTAGTTTATTGTGGCAGCTGGGAATTGCACATCGCTCATGTTAAGACAATTTTTGAGGTCCTAAGACATCATCAGTTTTTTGTGAAGCTCAAGAAGTGTACATTCGGGTGTCAAGAGGTAGAATACTTGGGTCATATCCTCGGAAGGTGTCAAGGTAGACCAACAGAAAATTCAAGCTATGTTGGAATGGCCGAGACCTACTACGATCACAGAGCTTAGAGGTTTTCTGGGACTCACAGGGTATTACCACAAGTTTGTACAAAACTATGGAATAGTGGACCGTCCTCTCACCAACTTACTCAAAAAGGGGTCTTTCCATTGGAACACAGAGGTAGAAACCGCCTTCACTGAACTTAAGCATGCCATGACCACCACCCCTACTCTGGCACTCCCCAACTTCAATGAAGCCTTTGCTATCGAAGCTGATGCATTCGGAGAAGGAATTGGGGTAGTCCTCACCCAACAGGGCAAGCCATTGTGTATATGAGCCGTGCTTTAGGAGCATCCAAGTTATCGTGGTCCAACTATGCCAAAGAGTTGCTGGCCATTGTTGTCGCCATTCAAACTTGGAGGCTGTATCTACTAAAGCGCAGATTTTTATCAAAACTGATCAACGCAGCTTGAAGTACTTGTTGGACCAACGGATCACCACCCCGGAATAAAAAAAATTGGTCTCTAAGTTGTTCAGTTATGATTATGAGACACTGTATAAGCCAGACAAAGAAAACCAAGTGGCGGATGCCTTATTCCGACAACTTCATAATCCTACCATGCATGCTCTCTTTACTGCCAGCACAACTTTATGGGATCAGATCAGAAAGGAATTAGCAAAACGACCCCTGTGTCCAAAAAATTATAAAGAAAGCAAGAGAACAACTCGGTCAACCATATCTAAAAAAAAAGGACTGGTCTACTACAAACACCGAGTTATCATTCCTCCTACATCTAGTATAGTTCGACAGCTTCTATAAGCCTATCATGATTCTCCTATGGGCGATCACTCGGGTATTCAGTATCTATAAACGACTAGTGTAGCAATTTTATTGGCCTTCCATGAGACGGACCATCCAAGACTATGTGTTAGCATGTGAGACATGCCAACGAGCCAAGTCCGAAACTTTGTCTCCAGTTGGGCTCTTACAACTTCTACCGATTCTGTGTTAGGTATGGGATGACATTACCATGGATTTCATTGAAGGCCTTCCGCCTTCCTTGGACAAGAACATTATATTGGTAGTTGTTGACCGGCTTAGTAAATCCGCTCATTTCTTGGCATTAAGTCACCCATACATCGCCAAAGGGGTAGCAGAAAATCCACTGAAAATATAATCAAGCTTCATGGCATGCTCCGCTCCATTGTAAGTGACCGGGATCTTATTTTCATTAGTCATTTTTGGAAAGAATTCTTTAAACTTTCAGGGACCAAACTGAAGATGAGCTCGACCTACCTCCCTCAAACCGATGGTTAATCAGAAGTAGTCAACTGATGTGTTGAACAATATCTCCGATGCCTTGTACATTAGCGGCTCAATAAATGGTGCTTCTTCTTTTCGTGGGCAGAATGTTGGTATAACACCACCTACCACTCATCCATTGACATAACTCCCTTCCAGGCACTATATGAGCGACTGCCACCCACCATCCCTCACTATGTGGAAGGCATGACAGCTATGAATGAGGTTGACCAATAGTTAACTGCTCGGGATGAACTCCATACCCAGCTCAAGAACAACTTATAGGCAGCACAAAATCGTATAAAGCAATCAACAGATAACTGTCGTCGCCATGTGGAGTTTCAAGTTGTTGATTGGGTTTTTTTACGTCTTTAACCTTACCGACAACAGACCGTATTCAAGAGAGCTATCCAAAAACTGGCTTGCCGTTTCTTTGGGCCATTTCAAATTGAAGCACGAATTGGGCCAGTGGCATATCGTCTCAAGTTACTACCCTCTTCCCGCATCCATCTAGTGTTCCATGTCTCCCTTCTCGAAAAACAAGTCGGAGACCATACTTTCCCCATCAAAGACCTTCCAGGATATATATTTTCTTACCAAAAAGAGATAGGTGAATATTATATGTTTGATGTTGTTTGGGACTTTAAGTACTAATAAAGTGACTTGTGTTGCTTCATTCAGTGGCGGAGAGATTTCCTGATTCAAGGAATATAAGTTATTTTAGAAGCACAATTAGTAGAAATTTGAACAAGTTCATTATGATGTTGTTTGCTAAAATCCTTTTACAATTTATTTTCAAGTTCAGAGAGATTAAGCAAGTATTATCCCTGTAAGTGTAGGATGTTTTATATTTTGTTTGAATAAATTCATAGTTTGGAAAATAAAGGTGGTGTAGCTTGGGAGACAAGCATTTTATTTAAATGCCAGTTCTGAGAGACTAATAAAGTCCTGCAGAACTGCAGAACAATTGTAGATGGAACATCTCATCCACATTGTTTTGGTGTATGGTTTTGGATTGTTGTCAATAAAGTATGGTACCGAGTCTGTTGACATATATGTATTTCTGGAAATGTTTTTCTTTCTAAATACTATAATGCCTAGTTTGGTTCGATTCTTGTTCTACACCTAGCCAATTTTCACTTTTAATTTTCATGTTAGTCAAAATTTTTACAATTAGAACATGATTTGCTATGTTTGATCTACAACCATGTGCACCTTGAATTCCGTAGTGACAGTATACTCATTTATACTTCTAACATGGAAACTAAGTGAGGATTAGTTTGATCCACCAACCATATCCACCTTGAATTCCTTACGGGCAGTATGCTAATTTCTACTTCTAACATGGAAATTAAGTGAGGATTGGTTAGGATGGAGTGAAAATTCAACCAAGTGAGCAGTAAGTGTTTCTAGTCTTTAAATGCTCAAATTTTAGAAGATTATGAGGTTTAATTTGTGATTGGCTAACTTAATCAAGCTCTATGATCTTTCTTCTGAGAGGATTTATTAGCTGAATGCTGCATTTTTTTCTTTCCCTTTAAATTAAGAAGGTCAAATACTGATGGGTCTCTATTATGTCCTGTGCAGGGTTCCATCTTCTGTTAAAACATCTAAACTTAGCAAATATGAAGTTACTCCTGCAAAAGGCTCACTGTTGTCTGGGAGGTTGAGTCCTCCACAAACTGATACTTCTTTGCAGTATCAACCTGAAGTTGACTTGGTATCTTGAATGTATCTTTTTACTCATTATTCTGTTCTGCTTGAGATTAATGATCCTGGACCACTTAACTAGCTTATTATGTAACTTCAGAATCTCTCAGCCAAATTATATTCCGCTTTGCGAATTCTTCGAACTAATCTTGTGAAAGAGGCTGGAGACAGGGTGATGGCGTACCACATATTTGGGTGAGCTTCAGCTATTTCCTTCTTCCCTGTGGTTTGAATCAGTTCTGTTCGCTCGGAGTCATGCTGAACGTTTCCTCTGGTCTTTGTTAATACATGACATTCTCTTAGGAATGCTACATTGCAGCATATAAGCAAAAGAATTCCCAGAACAAAGGAAGAACTCCTGGAGATCAATGGCGTTGGAAAGTAAGCTTTTGAAGTTAAGCTGTAAATCTGCATGCGTATGGAAACAAACACTAACCATTATTTTGGTTCATTCAGGGCCAAGTTAAGCAAGTATGGAGATCGGTTGCTGGAAGCTATTGAATCTACCATCAAAGAATATTACAAGACAAACAAGAACAGTAACAGTAGCAATGACAGTAGTGATTCAGCAAAGAGAAGAAGAGATGCAAATCGTGTTGGTAGTACAACTATGGAAGATGATGATGACTTCACCAGCAGCACTGGTAACTCAAACAAAAGGGCTGCAAAAATTCAGAATAAAAATGCTGATGTTTACAGTTCTACATTGCCAAATTACTGCAATGAAGACCTAGATGATGAACCAGATTTTTATGATTGGGACTATGCCGTTGACCACGATGAGAAGGGTAGAGGAAGAGTGCTACCTTCATGGTCAACCGGAAACAAATAAATCTATTTCGTATTGAACCTTTTGGGAGGAGGAAGGATATAGACTTTGTCAACACCAGTTTACTAGTTAGTTCAAAGGCTTGCTAAAATGATAATGTAAATATATGGAAGATCTTTTTAACAGATTGCTCATTTCATGGCACAATGGCCACGATCCAATGGAATTGATTGGAACCGCTAATTTTCCAAACAAATATAGATAGCACGATAGGAAGTACTGTGAAATATATTGGTAGTTGGTTAAAGAAACGATTTCATACTGGAGGTTCACTCTCTTATTATGTATGTCCGGTTATTTAGGTAGTATATGTTCCACTTCTAACTCTCTTTTTGTGATTTAAAATAAGCACCTCGGGTTTAATTTCTGCATATTAGAAATTTTCTACAGGATTATGGTTGCCTATTCCAAAACATCTTTTTTTCTGATCCAAAAAATTGTTTATTTTAACTTACAAAAGGGAAAAAAACTAAGTTGTATGAGTCTTCAACAAGAATTTTCTGAATGTGACATGGGTCTCCTTATTCCTTGGTATTGAGGTTCATTTCTTGCTTTTTACTCTGTCAATTGTGCTTTTTCTGTAGATATTATTTCAAGGCTTTGATATAAGTTCTTTGCTACCTCAATGTAATGGTTTTTTTTAGTAGTAATCGGGATGAGGATGATCATTATTAACTTTACTATCTCGGAAAATTGCTGATCTCCTAGTAGTATACTTGTTTGGATAAAACTTGTCATTTCAAAGTTTGAATCACCTACCTTGTAGTGTGGCAATATTTTTCATGCTTCAACAAATTTGATTCACTTTCTACTTTTTTGCATTTGATGTATTTTTATCTTCTGTTTTAGATTTAGGTTATTTTGTTTCAATTTATGAATACTCTAAATATATTTTTTTCATTTCTGAATATTTGCTTATTCAAAAACTGAAATCATCCATTTTTGAAATTCCAACTATTTATTTATTAAACTTTCTTAATATTTTAACTATTTAAGTTATTGTCCACTATTTTCATATGTTCTTTTTGTTTATGTCTTACTGTTACTACAAGATTCTTCTAACATTTACTTGTGATTTATTAATTAATTACGATTTCAAAATTGCATGAGATATCATGAGCTACCTTTATTTATAGATAAACATCCGATAATATATCAAAATTAAGAGACACCTTAATGATAATGTTGATAAGTGCGAACTACATCTAATCAAAAAGGGATTTAATCAAAGAGAAGATATTTATTACGAAGAGATTTTTATTAACATAGTCAAGTGTATGGTTGTTTTTTTTCTTTCTTTTACTGTCTCATTTCACTGAGATATATATTAGTTAAATGTTCTTAACATATTTCCTCATAAAAATATTGTGGAGAATATATATACACAAATTACTAGTTTTGAGAACAATGACTCTCCTAATCACGCTTATAAGCTTTATAAAACCTTATATAACCTCAACAAGGTGCCCAAGGGTATGGTTTGATTACTTAAACTAGTTTCTAAAGCAAATTAGTTGTGTTTCATCCGAAGCATGTTAATCTTTTCTCATCTCTAAGGCAGGATCCTCTAATCTTTTTACTTTTATTTATTTAAGTTGATAATAATAATATAATAAAGAAACTTTGATGGTGCTAGTTGCCAATTTACAACCTAAGGTGGAGTTTGCAATTAATATCTAGAAAAGTTCAGTACTTTCTTGGTTATTCTAGAGAAAGTAATGAAGTTTTGTACGAAAATGGCGATATAATTTTCTCTTAATACAAATATCTTAATGACTTACTCGTTAAAATAAATATAAATAATTCAAATGACTATTCAACTCCAATAGTTATTAACCCTATCCTTCATTGTTAAAACTGGAAAGAAAGATTTCAATAACTCTGATACTATTAATATGTGATTGGTGCATTAGAATATACCACTCTGACTTAACTTGGCTTCACATTCCTTTTTAAAAAAATTAGGCCAATTCATCTCGAGTTTCTTTATTAATCATTGTGCTAATATTAAAAGACTTCTTTTGTGTATCATACAAACTTTAGTCATTAGCCTCTAGTTGGTTTCCTTCACCAATTTTCTTGCAATACCTCTCTAATGTTAATTAGGATAGTTGTCTTGACGACTGTTAGTTTGTTGTTTTACTAACAATGTCATTGTACATTTAGGTTCTTATCTCTTAAACAACCAAGAAACAATCAATTATTATTTGTTCGTTAATTGGAAATGAGTATGAGATTGTTGCAATACCATAATGAAACCTTATTGTTATAATTTCTCTTTACTATACTTCACTCACATATCTTCACCTCCATACTTTGGTGTAACAATGTTAAAATTGTGTATTTTACTTCAATGTATTTAATGTCCGGACGGATCACATTAAAATTGGCTACCATTTTATAAGGAAACAAGTATGTGTTTATTTTGTATATTTTACATTTATTACAATTATGTGTTCATGTTTCCTTGATTTAAATTGTAAATTTATGCATATCATAGTAATACAAATTATCTTTTTCTGCCTTGAAATTCACAGAGTCACTTTAACAGATGTTGATTATAGTTTCAAGCGATTATAGCTTTTTTTTAATTGGTACTTCTGAAAATGCCATTGGCATTTCCAGAATGTATTAAACAAATCCTCTGTTAAATAACATGGTAGATTTTAAAATTTGCAAGTGCTTCAATTGTGAATTCCTTCTCAAATGTAATTCTTTCTTTAAGACATTACACTATTTTTAATTAAATATTATTACATATTTTCTAAATTAATCTTGACTTTTAAAAATGTAAATGTATCTGAAACAATAAAAGATAATTTTTTCTTTTTATTACTACAATGCTGTAATTCAAAAATTTTACCTAACTTTTCCCACAAGTTCGAGTTCCTTGCTGCCTCTGTTTTACAGAGAAGATGAAGAGTGGAAGAAATCCAACACACAATGGACTTGATTTTCTAAAAAATAGAAGATTTTCATCATCTTTATTCAGCCTTCCAAAAGTGCAATAAGCATTAGAGTTCAACAGGGAAAATACATATAGAGGAACAGTTATCAAAGAACTAAAGCCAGACTCTTAATTGAAAAAAATTACAAGACACCCAAGAAAAAGATAATCAAATTAATCCAAGATAGTTTCATCAAATTATACACAAAGATAATATATTTAATTAAAATTTTCCTATTAAACGCGGTGCTGCACACATAGGCTAGTGTCTATGTAAAGCTTCTTTTAAAAAGCTACTTTTGAAATGGGTAAGCCACTTGCAGCAGTTTTACGAAAAGAAAAATTAACCACAATAATAATAATATTGCGAAATGATTAAGTTGCTATATTTTTCACATGAAAGATACAATCTTACTTGCATATAACTAAAGTTAATTTTTATTCGGAAGTTGCCCGGAATAACTGAGAACAATGACACAAACAAATTCCCATTCAGCAGTAACCACTAACTAAAGTCATCCACTCCACTGGAAATAATAATGTCTTGACCATGAAATTTCCAATAAAAGTAACTAGAACCAACATCATATCCTGAATGAAATGGTTAGGGAAACCATTATATATGTAATCGTAACCATGTGGTCTGGAAGCTGGACAACAAAAGCCCGAGCATACATACGTAATATGTCTCGCTGCAGATAATGTCTCCGGGGCCCACATCTATTGCTGTATTAACACATTCATCGTTGGAGTTTGCAGTCCCAGCCCAGTCCGCCACTGTCTGTTATGTTATTTACAAAGTCAATCCATCCACCCCCATATGCAATGATGGGAAATAGAGTTACTAGCCACGATTATAGTAACTCCCTCTTCTAGAACTTGGCATTGGGTCATCTGCACATAACCATACAAAATCACATGTCTAATACTATGAAATAGAAGATTTTCTAAGGAATAAACAAAAGCAATGGATCGATTGTTGGCAAGAATAATAATAGAAAATTTCTAATTATATAAACAGAAACAACAAAAGACAGATGCACAAAAATTATTGTTTTGACTGCACAAAAATTTCTCTCTGATGATAGCAGAAGAACACAGAAAATTGAATCCAAGGGAAAATTATAGTCCCCACATGATGTCACAATATATCTACAGGCACATACAAAGTTCATTGGAACAAATTCAGGATTATTGTGAAATTTATTTGCAAATCTACATTTGGTTATAGTAAAATATGATAAAGATAAGTGACTTCATGGTATTCAATGAGGTCAACTTTTTTACATTCTAATATAATTTTCATATTCTCTTAGTTGAACTAAGTGTGAATTTGTAAGTAAGTTCCTTTAGATTTTCAGATTCATTCCAAATACACCCTAAACAACAAATAGTCCATTCCACATAAAAAATAGGGAAGGAATTCTTAATTTTTGTATTACAATTACCAGGAACAGGCTACATGGAATTCCTGTCCTCAAATAACCCGTTACTGTGTTCAAGATCTTAGTATTGAGATATGGAGATGGCCTACTTGACTGAATAGTCAAAGGAGTTGATATATCTAAGAAAAGTTAAAACAATAAACTAATAAAAAGCTGGAAATCTAATAAAGATCTCAGCAAGACATGTAGACCAAGAAAGGAAGCACATCTTAATAAAAGATGTATGCCTACCAGCCTATATTCTGAGTATGGTAGATAGACAGATAGACACACAGAGAGACGCACACATGTACATGCACAGACACAGAGAGAGAGAGAGAGAGAGAGAGAGAGAGAGAGAGAGAGGTTTCTGCCCATCTCATGTACCATGTTCATCCTCATCCTCCTCATCTCCATTGTTACTTGTAAAGAAGGGAGTTAGGTAGTTCCTATCCAATGCAGTGAATGATGCAGTGCTGCAACAATAAACCTGATAAGAATAACATAGATGCTTAAATAGATATACGAAAGCCTTGTAGATAATTTCTAGATATTACCTCTTGTGGAACTCTTTTAGTTTCATCTTGAACCTATTCCCAGAAGGCACACCTTCGTCATAAGAAGGAGCAACATAACCATTATTTCCCTCAAAGGCCTGAAAAAAATAGATATAATATTAGAACCAGCAATTTGCCAGCAAGCAAGATCTCAATGGAAGCAAAGTATTTGACTCTCATCAATATGAAAAGATGTATATTGACGAAATATATGCATAATTTCATATGCTTAAATGCAGTGGATGACGTCAGGGACATTGCTGACAATATGTCAGACGAAACATTTCTGCTCTGAAAAGGAGATGACAATCCTTCTGGCATGTACATTCTTAAATTGCTAAGCTGGTCTCCAGGGCTCTCAAACTCCTCCCTCATTTTAACAATTTTGTCTATCAAGTCATTTGTTTATTTGAAAGGAAAAGAATTTACATTTAAAAGCACCAACAGAGTGCTGCCCATGTCAAAGAGAATTACATGTTATGTTCAAATCAGTTTGAAG